CCATTTGGGCCCTCAAACATCTCTTCACAGTCTAATCTGTTATAAAGCGTCGATACCGTGACAGAGAAGAGGAGCGGTGGAAAGAAGGAAACAACAGGTGGGATCACCTCCGTTGTGATTAAGGCTACATCCACACTAATACGTTTTAATACTAATACTAAAACGTATTACGATCTCCGTCCACACGGCGTTTCAGCATCGTTTTCAAATGATCTCTCCCTGAAAACGAATATCACGTGACTATTCACGTACACTGGGCATGCGGGTGGGTGCCGATGTAAACAGGAAGTAGTCAGTAGTGGTCTTTAAGAATGAAAGGTCGTGTTTGAGACTTAAGACCTTCTCTAAAATAGTCCTCTATAATAGTTTGTGGGAAGTTTACGAAGTTTTATTTTTCAGACTTAGTTACAGCGCTGCGGGTCTTTCTCTCTCTTTCTCCCTCTCTCTGTCTCACACATCTAATTTACTTTAATATTAATACTTGCACATAAAGGTTTACTAGATTATGGTCTATAAATGTGGTCAACACATGTCTCTCACTTGTTTCCTCGGTTTCGTTGTGTCTGTTCTCACTTGTAGCTCTGCTGGTGGCTGAAGTCTCTGTCCTACTGGAGAGCAGTTCACGTGTTGTTCCTTTATAGTTTACATGTGTGGATTTCACAATAGTTGTGCAGAACAAAATAAGCATTAATAAGGACAGGAAAGTCCTCCGTTTTGTGTCCATCGTCCCCCTCAACGCCGCTAACCATGACTTCAGACGGCCGCTCCGTAGGGCTGATAACGCCGCTGGTTACGCCGCTCGCTAATCGCTCCATTAACAGCTGCTTCCTCTGTAATAATGCAGACTTTAACTGCACAACAGCTGCTAGTAAAGACAACAATGCCAACAACGCCTGTAATCAGTTGTCCATGTAAAATTAACCTGGTAGTCGATCGATAATCAAGGCTGTTGGTGTTTGTGATCTTCCGGTAAAAGGTCACATGATAGGGGCGTGACCAATCAGGGAAGGACATGTTGTGACTGCGAAGAACCAATCAAGTAGCGAACGCAGGTGTGGGCGTCATCGTTTCCAAACTTATCTGTTTTCCACCGTCCACACGAAGAGGCAACCCCGGCATTTTCAAACTTGTCCGTCCTCGGGAGCGCTTTCAAACTCCTCTGGCGTAGTGTGGACGCTCAGTGTAAACGTAGCAAAACATCTGCGTTTTGAAATGGAAACGGAGTAGTGTGGACGACAGAGCTGCATGAGCTACTTCAGGGCACCCTGCTCTGAGTCCTTGGGATGTGCTGGTGCAGGCTGTCTCCTCCCACCCCCCCTCACTAGAATCAATCAATACATCTATTCTGGGGTTAGAAATGTGAGCCTTTGGAGAAAAAGTTCAGCTCAGTGGAACGGTTTGTTTTCTGGGCAGATGAATCCCTCGTCCAAACCATGTCCCATGCTTTTCAATGCAGTAGTGATCAGCTGTTTTTTTGTTGCTACAGATCATCAGACTAGATTAAAATAAATTCAAAGCTATGGGTATACATACTCTTACCTTTTTAAATGAGGAGCGAGTCATTCAGTGACCACGTTCACATTTACGTTCATCGAAATATGCACGGCTGTGTGTAAAAGGGAATATTAGCAGTACCCATGTAAAAGCACAGAGAAATCCCAGATACCCTGTGATTTCAACGAGCCTAAGGCCAATAAGTGCTGACCAGCCAATGTTTTAGACTCACTGTTTATCTAAACCATCCCTGAACTTATTAATAACTGTTCTGACTAATCAACACAGTGAAGTCTTCACATTTAAGGCTATCATGTTTCCAGCCACTTCACTATTTTCTCTAGTGCTATTTATCCGTTCTCTTGTTCTGGTCGACTGTAGATATGTCTTTGATTGGTACAGACACTGCAGTAATCTTTTACAATAATTAGTGCTGGGCAATGATTAAAATATTTAATCGCATGGATTTTTTGCGATTAATCGCGATTAATCTCATTGCCATGGCAAAGTTCAATAATGAATTCAAAGGTAGTGTATTGCGCACTTTTATTTTAAAAGTACTGCTATATGAACAAAAGGGCAATAACATTTGGTTCACGAGATGCAGGTAGCATGTTTTATACTTAATGTGAATATAATTCATACTTTGTTGGCATCTTATTCTGAAAACCGGATGTTCGTCTGAAGAAACCGGATGTTGTCTCACGTTAATCTGACTGACTATAGGATGTTTGCTGGTTTTTATCCCACTGTTCTTGTCGTCCTCTTGTTATGTATATGTATTTGTCTTTCAACTAAAAAAAAAAAAAAAAAAATTATAATAAATTTTAAAAATGCGTTAACGCGCGATAAAATAATTGTCGGCGTTAATTAATGAATGCGTTAACGCGAAATTAACGCGTTAACTTGCGCAGCACTAATAATAATACAAGTATTCTCGCACATAAAGGCCTACGACAATGTACATGTGCAAAACGTCTACTACACGTTAGAAGCAGGAGGATTCTCGTGTGGTCCTATCATATTGTGTCATTGTTCTCTGAATGAGATTCACACAGGAGTGCCTCTGTAAAGACCTTTCTTCATAGTATTTTATAATTTGATCATTTGCTCCTGCTCTGATTATTTTGCAGCAGAATGTAGAATGGGGTTACGTCATGAACACCCTTGTGTTCCTGTGTTTTCACATTGTGCATTGGCTGTGAAATATTGCATCACATCATGGTGAAAAACTTTTTCTAGCCTAACTAGTTTCCAGCCTCCACTATGGATTGTGGAAAAGTCCCTCATGAAAGGGACATTGTCCTCCTGGCCTGTCCCTGAGAAGCAGTCTGACTGTCTGGCCACTTAATCAGCACATGCCTGTTACATCACCGGTCATCCACAGAGCAGGCAGCAGATGAGTGCTCTCTTTGTTACCTTCAGTAGAAGCACAATACTCTGTGAACGTTGAGTTGTCAGATCACAGTGTTGAATAATGCCTTCCTTTCACCGTGCACAGAAATAGTCCCCATGATTCTACAAATGTAGCTGTACAACCAAGCGGGCCTAGCCGGGAGCAGAAGGTGGAGTCGTAGACTGTTTATAAGAAGTGGATGTAGTCGTCGCAGTAGTCCCGCCCTAAATCATCCCCTGCTTTATGGTCTGTTTGACTCTAAATGGACCATAATGTACTAAATGAACATCATGCTGTATTGAAGAAGACTTGAAACTAGAGATTGAGACCATAAACTCATGTTTACAATGTTTACTGAGGTAATAAATCAAGAGAGAAGTACAGTCATTTTCTCATAGACGTACCATGCAGTGTAAACATGGCATACATTAGTGTCCGCGCTCATCCACTAAACATTTGATTTGCCTGCAGCATGGAGCCAGTCTCTCATTTGCATCCACATCCACTTACTGGAGTCATGTTTCTCTGAAACCTGACCTTCCATCTCCATAGCAGGACGTCTGGACTAAGTATTTCTGAAACACCTGGTTGGATGCGTGATGCCTTACAGATGGACTTATTACAGTATGTGACAAGAGAAGTGGTCTGGTAAATGGATTCCCCCCACGTTTGTCTTATATAATGAAGGCAGATGTCAGATGAGTCCCTGAAAGCACCCCAAAAATGTTCCCTCTTGTTTGAGTGTAAGGTTTACAGGTGGACTATATTTAGGCTAGGATTTGTATGCAGGTGTTCTGTTGTGGCAGATTAGGGTCAATAAATTGTCAATTATAGTTAAGAGTTGAAACTCTTGACTGGAGGTGTAAATGTAAACCGTTATGGGATGGAAAAGGTGATGGGTTTTTCACATCACTACCTCAAACAAATCATTATAGTTGGTCCACTCTGGTAAAGCCTTGTTATGGAAAATAAAGCAATCTAACTAAGCCGGCCTAAATATTTCAAAGCTCCCTCAAGATGTTTAATGAATCTTTACGGTCCATTTGTCTTTGGAAATGAACTCTAGCCACTCCTCCTCCTCCCTCTCCCGTTCCCTACAGGCCTCCCACCCTCCACTGTATTGATCTTTGCGTGTTGTCATGTTGGGGGACCGAAGGGGGAGAGTGTAACTTGACCTGGGTGGGTCTCCAGATGTTGAGCAGCCACACGAGGCTCCAGGGCCGTAGCAGTATGAAAGCGCTGCTGAGTGGCTTCTTTCCTCACACGAGGTTTGCGATCAGCCCTTCCCATCACACAGGGGCGTTGGTCAGCCGGGGTGAGACCTAATACCATGCACTCCTGACTTTGAGGAAATGACTCATTGTTTTTGGATTATTTTGGCATCTGACATTATTATTCACCTTCTCCCCCCATTTGTTGAAAAGAGACACTCTCTCAGGGTTTGAATCTGATAACAATGCCATAATTGTCGGGCGAGTGTGTGTGTGTGTGTGTGTGTGTGTCTGTGCTGTGCACACTGCACCCTCGCTCTGAAGAGATAACAGTGGAAGTTGACACTTGTATTGATTCTCACTCAGTGCCTCCCTCAGTAACATACCGTACATTACACTTATGGGATCTAATGCAGAAGATGCATGTGTGCTAACCCTCCAGAGGGGCGTGTGTTTAGACGGCCAGCGTACGGCTTTAAATCGGCCCTGCCCACTTCTGACTATGCACATTGGAGTTAAATAACACTGCATAGGAAGTGAGGAAATGTGTGTATATATGTGTATATACTGTATATATACTCTATGAACAAAAGGCTTACATTGCCGGCTTTTGTTGTGCTCCACACGGAGCAACATTCCTGGTTAAAGGATCTGCCCTCGGGAACAGAGAGAGCCATGTGTGTACGCTCTCACACACTCATGAGCACAAACACATGTCATGCTTTTTTGCTAGTGTGTGTATGCGTTTGTGGGTACTGCCCCCATTGGGCGGGGCAGTACCTTATTTGGATAGTGTGTGTGTGTGTGTGTGTGTGTGTGTGTGTGTGTGTGTGTGTGTG